CCTGAATATAGGAATTGTTATGTCTTCGTTACCTTAAGCTTCTTGGAAAAGGGTGAAAAAGGTCTTGGATCAGTGTTTGTATGCCATGCAGGGTTATGACTCTCAAATGTCACAGCTGTCATAGGAATCACCCACTCAGGTCTGCACTCGAGATGCTGTTTCCACAAAAAAATTTCACTTTGGTAAAATGGAAAAAATATGAACAACAGCCATAGTATCATTACAGTTTATAATTCCTGAAACTAAAAGGTTGTGGAGGTTAAAATCACTCAGTTTGAAGGCGCTGCATTTAGTCTTTTTAAACATTGTCAAATTAACTGTGATACCTTGGCACAAAAAAATGACACACTGAGCAAGATAAACATGTTGGAAGTGATTTCTCCTTCAAGTCCAACTGACTCCTGGCAGAGTTGTGGCAATCTAGCAGTCATGCTGCATAAATCATTGTAATCATTTGTTTTGTGAAAGACTCAATATCCCTCTCACATAATCCAAGTCAGTAAAATCATTTTTTATTTAATCAGGGACTACATCACAATCCTGTGATGTGTGCTCGTCAAAGACGCATCACAAGAGGAATTCTCAATGGCAAATGAAAGTTTAGTTTGCAACAGTGGAGGGGGAAACATCAACTACCTTGATGTCAGTTTGGTGCACCAGCGTCTTCAATATCTTGCTGTTGATGACACAGAACTGAATCTACTAACTGCAGCTCTCTCTTCAAGGTATTCGGCCCACTGTGCAGGATTCCCTATCCATGTCAAGTGTATTGAACAGGCAGCTCCGTTCTCTTATTTATGTAGGTAATACTACTGGGGAGAATTTAAAGCATGTAGTTAATTACCTTTAAAGCCCCAGTCCATGATTACATATACACTAACACATTTTAAAACCCTGTTTCTCCTTCACAACAGCCATGAAACTGTAGTGACATAGTCCAATTTGTATAAGGTACATTTACTAATGTGTCCACATAAGTCCACATGAAATGGTGCTATTTGCTTCTGCATATTTATGTATTTCCTGTAAAAAACAGGCAGCTAGGGAGGGAGCCAATAGCACTGTCTGTCTCCCAGTCCAGCAGCAGCTCTGCCGGATATTCACTCTGTGTGGCTAAAAGTTGAAGATTGATTGACGGGTGAATTTCATGATATTGGTTGAAATTATTCAATTCATGCTTACATAAGCACATGTCACTGTTTGTTTTACAGGAAGAACAAATTATTGTATTTTGATACAAAATACGAAGAATTTTTTTTTCTAAATGTTTTGGCCTACATTGTTAAACAAAGGTACAATATAACTGAAGATACAGTCTTAAAGGGACAAAATGTTGTTACCTGGACTTGTGTGTTCACAGCTATTTTAGCAAATATTATTCTTGTAACGTGTGAGCAGGCCAGGAGTTAGTCCAGAGAGGGATTAGAGAGCCAAGACTTTGATCTGTGGAATTAATTGTACAGAAGTAAGGCTTGGACGTGCCATATTGATATCAGATAGCGGAATGATTTTGTGGAATTGTAAAATGCTTGTCTAAACTTTTGTCTCCAAAAGCCTTGCATAGTCAGTTCCAGCTTGGAGAATGCCTGCTGCTTTCCCCAGAGAGCTTCTGTCTTTGTTTTCTAAACCCTCTCTCCTAAAGTAACTGAATACTCACTAATACTGACCCAACTGCCCTGTGGGGTTTAGAAATGCATATTTGAATACTGAAATGCAGCAGACTTCCTATTTAGGCGACTCAGTGCTTTGGTATGTGTGTGATTACACACTCACCTGCAGATGGTGTGTATCTCGTGTGTGTCTTCATCCTTGCGGGCGCTGTCCGTCAGACTGTCACCCAGTGCCATCAGACACTGAGCGAAACCCTTATAGATGGAGTGACACCTTCTGGCTGCAGCAACAGGGCAGGGGCTCAGCACTGGAAAACACAAGCAACACACATGCAGAGACAAGATGAATTAAAAGTCAAACTCGCTCTGTAATGTGAAGTGAGAAATCAATCAAAGCAGAAATATCAATGCAGCCTTTGACAATAAATGTATTTCTGTTTCTCTCTGTTAATGGCTGCAGCTGTTGGACCAGAGTGCGACGAGACGAGTGAGCAGACAAAAAGAGGGTCCGTGCAGTTCTTTGTTTCAATGATGGACTGAGAGGTTGAGTGTTATCAATCATACACAGAGCTACAAACAGCCGTGGGTCCATCTGCAATCCCCTTCCCTTCTCACTCATTCAGTGTTTAAATGTCGCTGCTGATCGATTGCTCACATCAAAGATGAGAAGACAAGGCTCTTTGACCAGAAAAAAAGCCCAGTCCAACAGTCGGCCAATCCTAATTTAGAAGACGGGATTAAGATGGTAATCAGTCACTTTTTTGAAAGTGTTTTCCCTTTTTTAAACAGTTTCCAATGATGGCTTCCCACATGGTTCTGTTTAACAAACCATCTGGCGCAGGCAGGTTAAGAATGGGCATGTCAACACACACAAAATGGAGACAAGTGTGGACCTAGCTCTTGTTCTAAGTGTCTTTGATCAGTATATAAAATGTTATAATAATCAACTCTGCAATAGACCTTTTTCACAGCAGCCATTTTACATGAAATAGTAGGGTAAACACAGGTGTTACCAATGATACTAATAATTGTAGCAGTACCATTTAGTGTAGCAGAGTCTTTCGACTGAGCCAACATGCACAACAGCAGCACCCTGACTCTGTTTGACCTGAACGGAACTGAACGTTAATTAGTATCATTGGTATTATGTTTACCCTACTATTTCATGTCAAAATGGCTGCTGTGAAAAAGGTCTATTGTGATGTGTGTCTCCAAACACACACCAGTGGGTCTTTTGGCCACATGAATTGAAAAAGCAGCATGAATTGATTTTTTGGCCACTTAGGGGCAGTGAGATGCAAACAGTTGCCTATTTACACATCCAGCAGACACAGAGCAACATTAGCATTCTTGTCATGTTGCTATCCATACAATGAATGCAAGTCCAATATTCACTTTCCTTTTGGTTTTTGGTCTCAACCAAGGTATTCATAGTTAACTAAAACTAAATAAAAAATGAAAAATTGGTGTGAAAGGCACATTTTAGTTAATAATAATAATAATAATAATAATAATAATTAGATTTTAGAAGAAAAAATCTAATTGAATTGATATTGTGTACTTACAAAACTAAACTACAACAAAATATAAAGGAAATGTCTTAGGTTTTAGTCCTATTTGTCAACACAACAAGCATGAGGAGGCATTGGTGCATTTGTTTATTGACACTGGGATGACTAATGTGTGACTCAATGTGTTTGTACAGTAATACCTATTCTGATAATACCCCTCATATTATAATAAAAAAACTGAAGCTAATAGTGAAACTCATTAAAACTAAACTAAAACTACAGGTTTTAAAAAACAAAATAAAAAAACTATAATAACTCTGGTCTCCACCAAATATCTCTTTATTTAACTACCAAATGCTTCACCATGATCACCAGCTAGTCGTTGAAAATAGCTGCCAGTTGGGGCCAAAAATGACACAGATGAGAGCTCTGATTGGGAATTTAAAAAAATCAAAACAATGAGATGAAAAAAACACAAAACACTGTGTAGAGTCAAGAGGAACTGCAGAGTCACTACCCCTGCACAGTGAATATTAAGTATTGATTATTGCAGATTTAACAATAAAATATAAATGCAACACATAACTCTACATGCTCTTACTACAGAAATAATATTTTAAAAAATGATCCAAACAAGAGTAAAAACAACAAATGTCAGGTGTCAAGCAGCTCAGGCTGTCAGTTGTCAGCATGGATTGTCAGGACACTCACAGATGGAGAACGAGGTGTTTACTGTCAGTTGTACGTATAAAGATGACATGCATGACAAACCGTGCTTTGGCAGGAGAGAGAGGAATCCAAGTTTAATATTGAAGACTTAATTTTTGTATTTGTTGTACAACTGTCCACAGCATGATGAATCATTTGTAAATAACTCAGCTCAGTCCCAATGTATCCAGTTGTCCTGTTGCAGAGTCATATCAGGTGAAACCAAAAGATGAGTGCCACTTCAGGAAACCGCTTCTTGGTCATGTCTTTATGCAAATGTGGAGAAACCCGAAACCTAAGCGTCTCCCAGGATTTTAAAGTCAGTGCAGGATTCATAGATGCACGGACACACACCCACTGAGATCCCAGTCTCACAAGTCATTCACTTTGTACATAGCTATTCACAGCATCTCACTAAAGCTCAAAACTGTTTGTTGAGTCAGACTTGAGAAGGAGAAAATTCTTCCAGAGAGATCTGTATTTGTTTAAAATATTTTGAAATAATTATTAACAATTATTCAGTCATTTTGGTATTGTACCACCATTTACGGAGAACTGAAATGACAGTGAACTAAGCTTTCATGTACACGCTGTAGAGACAGAGCTCTCTTCTGGGATGTGGGCACCACTGTTTGATTAGGCTGATCCTTTCTCATCTTTTAAGCAGCGGCAAATGAATGTGAATCAGAAGCCTGCAAAGACTTCAAGAAGTGGTAAAGCGTCATGAAAACAGAATATGGAATTATTCCATCACAGGCTTTTACATTTCCATTCTCGCTTCCCTCATTCAACTCAAAGCTCCTTCATCCTTTCTCGACATTTATAGCCTAGTTCCAGACCTTTCAATTACCGCCCACAGATTTCTCAATGATTCAAATAGGCCTAGTCTTGTGCTTACTGACGTCTGTTTGCCTGTTTGGAAAAACAACCAATCAGAGTTTTGTAGGCAGGATTAAGATTTTTGACAAGGAAAATGTTGTCTTCTAGAAGTTACATTTTTATAATATAAGTTATTTGCTTTCCTTGTTATGTATGTTGTATTAGTATTAGTGCTTGGAAACTTGATGCTAAATAGTGGGGGTCACATCCTAGTGTGTGTTTGAGCAACAAAAGCACTTTCGTTAAGGAAATATTATGATTTTGGTCAAATATTACTAAATAAACACATCAATCAATGTCATTCAAATAAGGAATTACCTCTCTATACAGTAGTCCTTACTGGTAGTGGTGGAGTCCGCCATTCTAGTGCTGGGTTCAGATTGCTCATGATGGAGCTGTATTGAGGTATTGTCAATGCAAACGACAGCTTCAGAATCAGAATTAGCTTAATTGTACACATACAAGGAATTTGACTTTAGTTTTTTATTGCTCTCAATGTCACATTGAAAGCAGTCACAGCAAACACAATATAAATATGTCATCAAGACACTCCTGGTCATTTTTGTCTTCCAAAAATCAAAAAATTAAATCCGTGAAGAATGATCTGATTTTTTTCTTAAAAAATTATTAATTATTAATGGATTATATAAACTTATATTATCCGGTTTATCTGTCAGACAGCACCTTGAACTAGTCCATGTTAATTCAAATGTTAGCTACCATTCACCATTGCAGTCACGCTAACATTAACTCTCAAATACCTTTTAAAAGCTTACCTGAGAACATTAATGTTTCATAAAGTGTGTGCAAAAGATGTGCTGTTGGAGTTTATGTAACAGTCCTACCCTCTATCTTTCCCTCCAGAGGGACATGGGTTAGCTTTGCTTCTCCCATGTGACAAGTATTGTGACATGTCACAATCAGTTGTGTGAGGAGTGGTGCTCCAAAAGCTCTGTGGTAGCATCAAAAGCTAAAAAACAATAATTTTGGAAGTAGGGTTGAGTGACAGGCAACATGTTATTTGGATTTAATGACTAAGCTCTTTTGGTATTATTATTCCGCACATCACTTCAAGCATGTGAGAGTATTAGAGTAAGGTGTGCATGAAAATACAATACTATCTTAAAGAATCAATCATTTACCAAGCTGCAAGACAGATCATAGCAATACAAAAATGTCATGTTTTATCTATTTACCAAGAGTGGACATTGTATTGTAAAAGTGAATATTGTAGGAAAACAATGAAATACTGATACTGATATGTTCAGTGTCAACATTTTGTAACTTGCCAAATACATTAATTAACAATGTTTCCTCATTATAATGTTAAAAATGTAATCTGGGTAGAATTAATTTTTACATATTTTTGTAGGTGCAAATTAACATGATACAGCTGCAATTTCTAGGAGACTGGACTGAACAAGAATATGGCAACAAACATGGATAAAATTGATGCAGCTGTTTTCCTTTAATCCACTTCAAAAATGTTCTCCTCAGGAAATTGCTCCCGCAGCTTCTGTGTTGACTGAAAATGATGCCGGCAGGACAGATGCATTACTTTTTGCTAACTGATTAGACTGGATAATGCAATAAACGAAAAAAGATTATCAGGCTACAACATTTTTTGCTTTTATTGCTGAAGCACGTTTTACAGCTTTGGAAAATGAAGTACAGGGAACCTCACCCCCTTTACAGGTGCAAAGGAGAAATTGCAATGGCTGAGAAATGCACAAAAACCACAAACCACTCTAGAGCCAGTGTTGGGTTTGTCCATTCCAGGGCTGATGGTAAGAAACTGTAAAAACTAAACTAAAACCTTCACTTGATGGGCTCAAAGAAATTTAAATATCCAATAAGTGATTGACACAAACCTTTCTGAAATATATTTGCGGTAAGGATGATACACAGGCATCTTCTTATCTCATTTGCTCCTCACTTGTGGGACGAGACAAAAGGAGGTGCAGTGAAATGTTTTGGCACTTTCTTTCTTTTCACCATCTGTTGTGTATTCCTGCCTTTCTTCTATCTGAATTAATCTCTTTACTCATTCATCTCAAAGCTTCTGTCTCATAACGGGCAATGCACACCAATGACTACCAGCCTACTGAATTACAGTGTTTGAATAGTTATCACTGCATATATATGAGAGAGGGGTGATACAGAGTGGAACTCTAAATGAAAATAGAATATAGATAAAAACTGTGATATTACATTACTCATTATTAACACAAACAACAGATTAATTTCATTGGTTCTTTAAAGCTTTTACCTTTCATCACAACTCTGTTCACCTTAAAAGGTCCAACGTATAGGGTATCTATGGCGAGAAAAGTAGAATATAATATCATAGTATGGTTTTCATTCCAGTGTATGTAATCCACCTGAAAATAAGAATTGTATGTGTTTTCCATTACCTTGGAATGAGCTGTTTTTATCTGCAGAGGGAGCGGTTCCTCTTCTACGGAAGTATTGAACCACCATGTTTTTGGGCTGTCACTGTCCAGAGATCAGTGGGGAAGCTTTACTCTGTCACACGTCACTGAATTTGGAACCGAATGATAAGACATTTTTCCGATACTTGTCTAGTATTGACACAATACGGTCGATGCCATAGAAGTATCGAAGTTCGGTACACCCAATAAAAGTGCTGTTTTTTGCCACTGACCAGCAGAGTTAATTATTATTTGTCTGTTTTATGGACTTTGGATTTTCTGCCTTCTTCCTGTCAAATTTGCTTGCTTGTTTGGATTGCCTTACCTGGATCTGACTTGAGCCTGTCTGATTATCTGTAAGCTTTTGTTCATTGACTTCTGTTATCAATTAAATCATCTGCACTGCACCAGCTCTGCCTCACTAGTCTGCATTTGGGTTCAATCTCTTATACTCTTTGTTAACCTGTTTGACAAGCGTGACACACGGTCCCACACAGACCTCATGACTGGTTTCACAAAAAGCTGAGACAGTGTTACTAAAGCATCAGCTCACCCCAGAGGAGCCTCATTGGGACTTGTTGACAGCTGGCTCCTGAAGAGTAAGATCATTTTGGAGCTGGTGGTGACCGATATTTCACCGAGCTAAGATGGCCCCCTTCAAGGGTGTGACAGGCACAGATGCATCATGTCGTGATTAGTGTACAAGACGGAGGGGATAACGCTCCTGAAGAGTGTGACTGTCCCAGAAGTGGCTTGTCGTGTTGAGTAAAAGTCAGTGTGGCGCCTCGGCTGGAGCCTGGCAGGTGAACAGGAGATGCTAATTGGGTCAGACACTGCATCACCACAACTCTCCCCCCTCTCCCCAGAGACCTGCTGTTTAATATTTAATAAACCAGACCTTCTCCCACCCTCCCATTCACTTTGCGTTTGTGTTTTTTTCTAGGAAACCTATTGATTTCAGGCAGGGTTGTTCAAGGGGCCTGAAGATTATTGGCTTCACTCATCTCCATCAAGTTTTAATGAAGACCTGAGGAAGAAAAACTGCTGGAGAAGGAGAAAAGGAGACAGGTGTGAGAGTAAAAGAGGTGAAGATGGAGGTGAGGAGAGAGTGCAAGACTTAATGACAAATGAAGTAGTCACTATTAATAATTTAGTAGATTAATTAGGCAAGTTATCATCTGAAAAACAAGCAAACACTTTTTTATCAAAAGCCTGGGGTCACTGCTTTACTCATTGGTACCCCAATAATCCCTTTTTAAACACTAAAAAAATCTACCAACACCTCTACAGCTAACAAATCAATATGCTGCTGCTTGTTTTCTTAATCTGGACGCAAACAGAATTGTAAAAATGACAATTAGTGGTTTTCAGGGAAGTGAAGTGAAGCCAATGTGGAAGTGTTTCAAACCTACATTCAAGGACTAACAAGGGGGGCAGCTCCATTGGCTGAAAAATGAACCGACTTCTCTCTTGATTTTTCAGCTCAGTAAACAGTTTCCTAATAAGTTTTTGGTCTCAATCGCTAGTTTCAAGTCTTCCTCCCTACAGCAACATTTAGCAAATTATGGCCCAATTTAGGGTAAAATAGACAATAGAGGCGTGATTGCAAGTTATTCTCAGTGAGTCTGTCCAACCAATGGGTGATGTCCCAGTTTTTACACCTTGTTGCTACGTACAGATGGTTTTGGTCTCTGTTCCATATCAACCTTACTGTGAGAGAAAGACACTGCCAAGAAGTACATAACTTCATGAAAAAAACAAATTATAGTTTTTACATTCCTGTTTGTGTATGTGTATTATTCCCCTGCCTGCAGTGTTATGCTAAGCTAGGCTAACTATGTTCTGACTCCAGTTCCATATTTTAAGATAATGTCGATCTTCTCATCTCATTTAAAAATATTCTGCTGTTTCTAGCTGGGATATATTGTAGCAATAAGTATACATGAATTATGTCTAATTCATTGATGTTGTATTGATGTAAATGTAATGAATATAAAGAATATAAGGTAGTCCCACAATGCACTAATTTTAATTTCTACACTTTGAAAGTGGTCCTCTTCAGAAAAGGGCTGTATGATTATCTCCAGCAGCCACTATTCAAACTGAAATGAGTTCTGGGGGTGCAGTTGGGAAATCAAGGCAGGGACGCACATCTGTTCAACTGGCAGGAATTTGTTGTTTCTGGTTTGGCTTGTGAACTAATTCTCTGTTTTCAAGGCTTGATTGAACCTTTTCCACCTTACGCTGAGGTCACTAGGGGGTCTGACAAGGTGGCTTACTGGTTTAACTCTAATGGATCAGTGTTTTAACACTGTGCCCTTGCAGCAAGAAGGATACCAAAGGTCATTTGAATGGGCATTACTATGTGGTGTTTGTTTTCCTGGTTTCTCCCACATAGGACCACATGTGTGTCAGGAGCCTGTATACTATCCACAGATTTTCATGTATTTCAGGCCTTTTCGATCAAATAATCCCAGGATTTAAACTCCAGAAGGCAAGGTTCCTTTCCTTCCTGTTCCCTTCCTTCCTGTTGATTCTAGTTTTCATTGCATCTGAAGAACTTTGGAGTTCTGGCAAATTAGACTGATAATGGATTAACATTGAGCTAAATGCCAACATGCTTACACTGACAATATTGTCATGCCTCTTTAGTGTTTACAATGTTCACCATCTAACATTTGGTAATCAGCACAAACACAAAGTACAGCTGAGGGATAGGTTTTGCAGGTATTTGGTCATTTGCAAATTAAATCTTTAATCTGATGATGCTTGACGAAAAGGCTACATTCACAATTCAAGCCATAGCACTCAATGCTGATTTATTGCTCATTGATCTGATTTTGTTTTTGTTTGGGTGTTCACATTATTTGTTAAATGTGGCCCATATCAGATTTCACTGTAATCAGGTCACGGTCACCTGCACGATGAAT